TATATATAGATAAAATAGCTAAACTAGAAGCCTTATAAGAGAAAAGAGAAATCTTATTAAACCTAATAGTTATTTCCGAAAATACTTAATAATATATAATTCTGGAAATCTATTAGATATTAAATAAACTAGATCTACTTATTTAAAGCCTATTTTATATTAGAAAACCTACTTTCTTTTTAATATAACTATAGCTATTCTTAAAACTTATATTAAGGCTTAATTAGTATATTATATATTTTTATTTCTATATAAAAAGAACTTCTTTTATATAGAATTTATTCCCTAATTATAATATTATTTTATTACTAGAAATTATTTACTTTTTTAAAAAACTAGTATAATTTACTAATTCTTATTATTAATTTATTTCTTACTATTAAATATTATCTAAATAATTCCTATATTCTTAATACTAATTCGAAATACTTAATCTTTTTATATTCTATATTAACTTTAATATTAATTATTCCAAACTTAATAATAGTATTATAAACTTTATTTATATTATTTTATAGTTTTTCTTTCTATATATTCTAATATCTTTAGTATTATTTTTATAAATATAAATATTACTTTAAAGTTCTAACTAACTAAATAGTTTTATATTATATAAAGTTAACTTTAATAAGTACTAAATAAATATAATTAGCTTTTAGAAGAAATATAAATTAGTTTTAGAAGAAGTAATATCTTATTCTAAATTATTTCTTAATTCTATTATTCTAATTTCTTTTTTATTAATACTTATTTTATATTTTCCTAATATCTTTAATATATTTATATACCTTATCTTTTATATATTTCCTATATTATTTCTCTTTTTTTATATTATTTTTTAAATTAATAGAAATATTTCTAAATAAATAAAAAGTCGAGATATATTTATATTATAAAATTTTCATTATTTCCTTTTATATTCTAATATTTTAGATATTATTACTATATTTATATTTCTATTATATTATTTTCTTATTTCCTTATTATTATTATTTAGTTTAATTTACCTTAATTATTTCCTTAATTATATTTCTTTAGGTATATATATTTATATTCTTTTTTATAATAAAAGCCTAACTTTATATTTTATCTTTTATAATTATTTCTAATTTATAATTATATTATTTCAAATATATTTAATTATTATATCTACTTTCTTTATTATATATATTACTATTTTAGCTTTATTTTCTTATTAGAAAGAAAGAAAAACTCGAATATATATAATACTTTTATATAATTCAAGCCTATTCTAATTTATTCTTTATTTTGGAATATATTTAAAAGAAATTCTCGTAATCTCGAAAATATTTAATTCTATAACCTATAACTATTATACTAATAATACTTTTATAACTTATTAAGAATAATAAAATAGCCAAAGTATAAATTTCTTAAGCTAGTAAAGTATAATAGCTAGTTCTTATAAGCCGCAGTATTATTAAAAGCCTATAAATTAATAATATTAAAGTTTAGAATATTAAAAGAACTTAGGTAATTATAAAAGGCCTGCTAATACCAGAAAAGATAATTATAATTACTAAATTTAATATAAATATTCTAGATAAGCTAAGTAGTATATATAATAAGCTCTTAAAGTAAAAAACCTTTATTAGAAACAGAACTAGATTAGAATTAACTAAAGAGAAACTAAAGAACTACTAAGCTAATAATAGGGAATTCGAAAATATTATTAAAGGCATTTCTAAAAGCAGATAAGAGAAGCTTAATAAGATTAAGACTATAATAAATAGTTTTAATATTAAGAATTAGAATAGAATTATATTATATAATAAAGCTTTTAGCTAATATATTAATAATATCTATAATAACCTTAGTAAAAACGTTTATAAGAAGTTATATTTTCTTTTTAAAATAAAAGCTTTAATATATAAAGCTATTTAGTTAATTAATAAAGCTATTTTAAAGTATATTAAGAATAAGAAATATTAGAATACTAGTATATTTACTAAATTAGATATTACTAAGGTATTTAAATATACTAAAGCTATTTCGAAATATAGAGAATTAGAGTTTAAGCTATTATTAGCTAATAATCTTAAAGCTAGATAGTATATTTTTAATATTTCCGGAATCCTAATTAAAGGAATTTATAATAATAAGTCTTTTCCTGCTTTCCGAAATAAGCCTAAAGAATAGGCTCCTATTATAATTTCAGCTTTAATTTAATTAGATCTAGCTAAGAAAAATAGAACTAATTTAATAGAGCCTAGTAAGAAAACTACTAGTAAAACTAGTATAACTAGTATAACTAGATAAGAAGAACCTAATAAGAATAGAAAGTAAGCTAAGCCTAAGATTTCTAATAAATAATAGAGATCTAAGTATTAGACTAAATATAAGATTAGTAAAATAGAAGAAAGCAAAAAGAAATTCTTTATTCTAAAAAAAAAGATATTATCTAAAAAGATTCTTATAACTATATTTAGAACTAAGAAGTAAAAGACTAAGAATATTAAGTCCGGAGAACTTAATAAAGGCATTTAGTATATTTATAAGATATTAGCTAAATAAAAGTTAATACTTATTTAATAGAATAAATATATCTTTAAGGAAATATATAATAGTATTTTGAAACCTATTTATAAATAAGAATATTATAGGATTAATAATAGATTTCTTAAAGCTTCTTATATAGTATATACTTAGTAACTTACTAATATTTTCTCTATTAATATATAAGAGATTAAGGATATTCTAAAGCTAGTTACTAAGATCTATAAAGTTACTAAAAGCAAAAAGTATATTTCTATTATTTAAATAAATAAAAAGATATAGGATTTCTTTTTTAAGAATTAGGAAATTAAGAAATATAGATATAAATATTATATTTCTAATTAATTCTATTCTAATCTATAGCTCTAATTTAATACTATAGTCTCTATTCCTGAGTCTAGTATTACTAATCTAAATACTAATAGCTATATTTATAAAAAGAATTACCTAAAGTAAATTAAGAAGCTTAGTATTCGAGAGCTCTTAATAAAAGAAATAGAGATACTATAGTTTTACTTCTAAAAAAATAATATATTAATATATAGAGATCTTAGTAATAGCTACTTTATCTTAGCCTTTTAACTTTTAATAGTAAATCTATTAATATGGCTCGGATTTTATAAGGTATTAAGTAAGTATCCTATTTATCTAGTTACTTATTCTTAGCTAGCCTAATACTTTACTTCTGGAAATATTAATTATAATTAGTATAAAGATAATACTAAAGATCTGGCTATTACTAAAGCTTTAAATAGCGAATTCTATTTTAGTAAAAAGTATTAGAATATTAGCTATATTTTCCTTATAGATTATAAGAAGGCTATTATCTTTAGTAAGAAGTTCTTTAAAAATATTAATTATTTCTTTATTTCTAATAAATTTAAGCCGGAAATAGCTAAGAAAATAGGTAAGTATTTACTAAAGATAATAAGAAAAAAGACTTCAAATATAGTCTATTTAACTAGATAAATAAATGCCTTTAGCTAGGTAATTTATAAGTCTGAAATTATAGGAAAGTATTAATTCTCGGATAATATATAAGTTAAAGAATAGCTTAATAATAATTTATTATTTAATAGGCCTTTTACTATAATTTTAATAAGTCTAGTTATTATTAAGAATAAAATATACGAAAATAGAGTCTCTTATAAGGTTATTAAAGCCTCTTATTTAGAGCTTTCTTCTTTTATTAAAAGTTAATTTAAGAATATTATAGATAATATAAAATTCAAAAAAGCTATTTATTTAGAGTATATTAGTATAATTTATAATATAATTTACTATAATAAGCCTTCTTAATACCCTATAGTAAAGGCGGAAATTAAGTAATAGTTAAAGGCGGATACTAATTAATATAAAGAACTATATTGGATTTAATATAAGAATATAGCTAAGCAGGTTCGGATTACCTTTAAGCAAGTTCGGGAATATAAAATAAGACTATTTAAGAGTAATAAGTCTTATTTTAGGTATATAGAGAAGAAATTAAATTAACTAATAGAGGAGGATCCTGAATATTTCGTTATTTCGGATTCTAAATAGGATTTTTTTATTATTTTTAGTACTTAGGAAACAAGTATAAATAAATAAGAGATCGGATATAGTACGGCGGGCTATACTTATAAAAAATTATATTATTTTAGCGGTTTTGAGGTTTAGATTATATAGTAAAGGCTATGGCCTTTTATATATAACTTGCGGAAATCATATAAGAAAGCTGGTTTTTCTATAAACTTAGAGAATAATCCTTTATATATATTTAATTAATTGAGCTTTTATATACTATATACTATTTATACTTTACTATTTACGCTTTTGATTTATTATTTTGCTATTAAGTCACGTTTTGTACTCTAGTATACTTTATATAGGTTTTTGTCTTATTGCAGTTTCCCTCCCACATTAGCCATAATCTAATTAGATGATTTTTATGTTTATTATCCAGATAGCATTAGTAAAACTACCTCCTAAGATACTGGAAGTTTATCTTAATTAAATAATTAATTAATTAAATATTTTACTAGGATAGATTAATGAATCTTGGGAACAAGATCCTAGGAGGGGAATATAGTTATAATATATGCAGGGTCGCACGTAACTTAAGGGCATATAACGAACCTCGGATATCGCAGGTATTAATTAGGGAGATCGACGGCCCTTTAATATTATAACTAACTACTATTTATATTATATGTATTAGGCTTATAAATCACTAATTATATATATATTATCGGGGCCTCCTATTTAGAGGAGGCTTCTCTGGACCTTACAGGAGGGACAGAGATTAGTTCTGTACTGAATTTGATACTGTGGTTTCACAACTCACTGATTCATTCTATTGTCTTATTGCCTACCAACAAACACCTCACAGTGCGCAATGTCATACGCAATGTTTTTTCGGGGTTTTGGCAGGAGCATCGCTATCGGCCTCGGTACGAGTGGTGGCCGGATCGAGAAGTGCGAACCGAGCTTACCTTTTGCATCCAATGAGAAACAACCTCTCTTCAGTTCTCATAGCCGCAGTTAGAGACCAATCAACTCAAATCCGACGTCATTCTTTGAGGTTTTCTTTTTCAAATGGTATATAAGCTGAGGCCCTCTGATTACGCCGTTAAGAAATCACCAACAAGTATATCGGATACTTGGCACAACTGTCACTCGACAGCATTCTCCTGAAAACCGGCCCATCAAGACTTTGCCCTTCAACAGCAAGACTCCAAAACATCCATCCTCAGTTCAAACTCGGAAAGTATCAACTTACCCATCCAAAATGGCTTCGGCAAACTCCCAAACCCTCGAAGCAATGTGGGAATATCTCTCAACGCTCAATTCCAGCTCACCAGATTCCGCCATCCATACTTACACCCAGTTTTTCACCCCCACCGCAACCGCCGACCTCTCGGGAATGAACCAACCCCCAGCAACTTCCCACGACACCCTCGCAGCCGCGCTTAAAGCTCTTCTTACCTACTATGGCCACCTTGAGCGGAAGGTCATCGCTCATGTTGAAGGCGAAGAGGGATCAGTAGTCAATGCTATGGAGAACCGGTTGCTGATTGCGGGGGAGGTTGTGGAAGGGTTCAAGGAGTGTGAGGTCGTGAGGTTTGAGGAGGGGAAGATTAAGGAGTACTTGTTGTACTGTGATCCTGCGCCAATACTGGCTGTCTTTGCGAAGAAGGCTGGGGCCAACACGTAAAGATGAAGAGTTAGTGTAGATAAGTGGATGCAAGAAAAATATCCAGTGAGAGCTTGAAGAGTGGCTGTTATGCTGCACGAGATCTTTTCTAGAAACTTCAATGTACCATAAAAAAACAGTGGAATTAAAATATCTGCGCTCATTCTTGTTCTTGGAGCTCATGTGCACTCTACAGGCTTCCATCACCTCCCTCATAGGGCTTGACCTTGTTCATCAGCTTGATAAACGTGTCATCTCCGTACAGGTTCATCAATCTCTTCCCCTTCTCAGAATTTGCTGCCTCAACCCACCTAATGCGACTCGCATCATAAAAGTCAACATAGGTAGCTGTTTGATTTATCAGCAGCATTTCAAACATGTTTGGAGTAGCAAAACTCACGTTCACCAGTTCCGTCCTCCTTCGCCATCCTCTCCTTCAAGTACACCCACTGCACCTTAAGTTCCTCAAAGATCGCATCCTCCGAACCCCCCATCTTCTCCAAATACTTCTCCAGAGGCCCGTGATCCAGCTCTCTCGTTCTTTTGAAAAACTCCTTCGACCCATCATCCGGATCCAACGCATTCTTGTACACATCATAGCAAATCCAAAAATAGACCGCTCTGTTGGCCAATTTTGTGTCCCTCGCATGCTTCTTAGTTTCTTCGACCAATTTTAGGTCTGGGTAACCATCTTGTTCGGTAAATCTCTCGTTGAGAAGCTCAGCGATGGGAGTGCTGTCGTTCTTAGCGACGTGGGGAGCCTGCAAGATCTCGATGATAGGCACCGTGCAGTCGTCGTCTGGCCATGTAGGGGAGAGGAGCTTCTGGCAGGTGGGCTTGATGGCTGGGTAGGAGAGCTTTACGCACTCATAGGGGATGCGCTTGTAGTTGATGGCATATCGAGTGCGCCAGCAGGCTGGTGACCAGCACTTGGGCCCACTGAGGTCGTAGAAGCGAACGAGGGGTTCTTGGGAAGCCATCTTCACGGATAGCTTGGGAGTGGAGCGAGGGAGAGTATGGTTGGAAGAAGTGGGGCTGTAATGAAGAAGGAGGAGGTATTTATAGATGATGGTAGTCAGCTTCGTGCCATGCTGCGCCCCAGTGACATAGGAAGTGTAGTGGGGTGGTTCTTGCAGATCAATAGAACCCGCCTTCCTCTTTAGGCTTGTTAAACGAATTCAGGGTCGTCAGACTAGGCCCTTAACAACAGACATGGCTAACAATAATATCATTTGAATCCTGGAGGGCATATCAATCGAATGGTAAAAATGTGTATTAAACAATATTGGGAGAATGCTGATGCTGAGATTCCGGTGTTGAACCGCCCAGTGTTTTGCAACCCAAAGTCGGATAGCAGTATTACCTCGATAGAGAATCTCAATCGCCAAAGAAAATGGAGACTGAACCCCCGATTTGAGGAAGCCATTCAAAGGATTCAAGAAATGCGAGAAATGTTTTAAAACATAAATCACCGACCACAAGCGGAAGTCTCGACAACCAGAGTTGGAGGAAGTGCAATTTCGATGCAGGGCCGGGTACTGACCGGGCTGCCTGAGCTACAAAGGGCAAGGTTGGGCGGTCAACTAAGACTGGAAATGTTAGAATGAATATAAAATTACAACCTGCGAAGATACATTGAAATTCAAAGATGGTATGCTGCTGAGGAAATCCTAAGTGAGACGCGAATTTCTAAACTGTTCAGAAGTGGAGAGCATTTGAATGGGCTTGCGAGAATCTACTTCTCCAATCTCCGAAGGGATGATCTAAGTTGACTCTTTGTTTATTTATAATGTTATTTTGCTGGGTGGTGTTGGAGGTCGCTGTTGTTGGCGTATTTCTGCACAGCAGGTTTGGTCCCGAATTGGGGCTTCTTTATATGAGATTACAAGTGGAAATCCACAATATTCTGGCATCTAGTAGAACACCATTCTCTAACAAATTGATTAAGCACAAATCTCGATTTAGAAGTATCTGTCACTGAACACAATACATAAAGGTGGCCCTTCCTCTCAACCCATCTTACCATCCAACCTCCCACTCACACTCACACTCACAACAGCCCCCAGCTTTCCCTCCTCAACAGAATTAATCCGCGTTTAGAGTTGCCATCCTCCAAGGAAAATCCAAACAACACATCACCTGCGAAAACGCAGTTGTCAATACTCGAGTCTCCATCATGCTCAACGAGGCGAAGCAAAGGCTGCTCGCGAGAATGTTGTCTTTGCAGCAAGAATCCAAATTTTGGAAACCGAGAATCCATCAAGTGTCCAAATCTTGAATGAAGAGCGCTCCAACTTCCGTGGATGTCAAATTTGCTCTTTCTTCCCACTTCCTCGGAGCTTTAGCGCTGTTGGTCGGCCTCCTCTTTTTAGCAGATATGAAGAGTAAATATGAAGACAAATAGGCATCTAGGCAGCAGAGAATTAGTGAACAAGGAACATCTTTCCAAGAAGCTGAGGCCAGCTCAGCCATACCACCTCGTGAGCCAGAGCCGAACAAAACCGACTGTATCCTCGATTTAGAAGAGGAATGAGTAAATCAGAACTTTTCAAGTCATGAGAGACGATTCTACTCAAGTTCGAGGGACAACGAGAAGACGGCAGTGCGGGAAGATTCCAGCACCCTGACCGAAGACCACATTCATGTACATAAACTGCGCGTTATGAGCGAAAGAAGAGCTTCATCTGGATAGTCTTATAATTCACTTCTCGACACCACCTCACACCCCTCTGCAATCAATTACTCTGAAGCCGGAAACCCCGCAGAATGTCCCATGTTCCAGCTCAACAAGCAGCAGCATTGTTCGCGAACGCCCTCCTTTTGATCTCCAGCTTGCCAAAATTCAGGCAGAAATCGAAGTCATGATTAAGGAGAGCGATGGCCGAGTCCAAGACAGAGCCGCAGTAATTGCTCATCCTCTTGATCACATGATCAAGGAAAGTGGCTCAAAGATAAATCTGAGAAATAGTCTCTTCAGTCGGCAAAGCGAGGCCAAGATTAAGCAGAAATGGGAAGTGAAGGAAGAAAAGAGACGGAATGAAGAGTTAAAAGGCAGGGACGAGAGGGAACAGATGAGCGAGAAAGGCATCCTGGAACGGAAATTGATGGAGAAAAAGAGCAAGAACCGTACGGACAGGGAGGAGAGGCGGCATGATGGGGGCTTTGAGAGATTGAGTGTGTTGGGAGAGAAGGTGAGGATGATAGCCACTCAGTAAGACAGATAGAAAGGAAGGAGTCTTATGTTAAGTACTTCGTTGTTAATTGCGACACCTCCAATTGTAAGGGGAATATAAGAATATATTATGAAAAGCAATACTTGGGATAGCTAGAGGCATTTCATCAGAGCAAACAGTAGATTATGGGGCTCAATACGGCGTTCCAACGAAACTTCGTTAATAATCTAGAAGAATGGTGAGAAAGGGAATATGGATGAATTCAATGACTGAGATCACTGAGATCACTTCAAAAACAAGAGACATTGCTACAATGATTAGGGCTCACGCAGAACTTCTGGATTCGGTGTGAACTTTGTAGTGCGAACGGGCTCCCCCTAGATGGAAAGATCTCTGTAAATCTCAGTGCCTCGTTTCCTGTCAAGTACGCCCTTCCAGCTCCATTGGTGTCATCCACAAACCACAACTTGCGATACTTAAAGAGCTCTATCAATGTCTTTTCTTTCTTGAATCTCAACCCTTTTAACAACAGAATTTTGCTCCACATCTCTCACCCCCCCCCCCCCCCCCCCCCCCCCCCCCCTTGCCAGAATGTCCGACTTTGACTCAAACGCGCCTCCAACTTTGGACAGCTCTTACACGCAAGGTTGAACCATCAACTATGACAGCGAATCGGAAATTACCTCCGAACTCGACACCTCCTTCCAGGGACTCTCCTTCTCGGAATCAAGATCGGAAGCTAAGGTTGATGGCATCAAAACAATGTCTGAAGCCAGAATCAACGCCATCACGGCAGAATCAAAAGCAAGGCTCGGCGCCATCAATGCAGTCAATGACCTTAAACTGAAGCACATGAAAAAAGAGTTCGCAACCAAAGAGTTGAGAGCAGACAAGATGCATGACAAGGAGATAAAAGAGTGTAATAACAGGAGGCAGAATGTGAATGAGCAGGGCAGGCAGGAGTGGGGATTGATGGAGTGAGCGAGTGCGAGGAGGGATCAGAGGGAGGAGAAGGCGACACGAGGATTAAGAGGCAGGAGCTGGAGAGCGATGCGAGAATTGATATGCTGGTAATCATGGAAAAGAGGAGGGGACGAAACGACGTTTAGAAGTAGCAGATGCAGAAGAAGAGAAGACATAGTTTTGAAGATGAAATATGAGGGTCGGTTGGGATGTTGGTTGGGATGCCTGCAGCTAAGGGAGCACGCGGGAAATAGGATTTGGGAAGAGGCTTGTTTGAGGTGGCACCAAAATCGTTGTGCCATAAGCAGTATGACACAATAAACACCTGAAATTACACCAAGAAAAAACTTCGTCTTTCATTTGGGGAAGGGCATGGAGGTAAAGAATGTTCCTGAGATTAGTATTAGAAAGGTTCTCGAGGCTAACAGACAATGTTGCAAAGAAATAAGACCTCGTCACTCTTACTGAACTCGGATCTAAAAATCTTGAATCCTGCGAAAACCAACAAACCATAGCATCGGCAGGAACATTTAGCAAATCATCTCACCAATTCATTCGCAATGTCCGAAACTACTTCGACTTCCCTTCATGGACCCAAGCTAGCCGAAGCAATCGCCATCCAAAGCGCATCATTCGACCGTACCTCCATCGTGCGAGAACAACACCCCGTTACGCAAGTCCACAAAGACGCTCTCACCAAGCACGAATCAATACCATTCAGGCAGAGAGCAAAAAAAAGCTGGCCCACGGCAGAGAAGTTCACGACGAGAAGCAGCAGGCACTTTCCAAGAAGTATAAAGTCAGTCTAGAGATAGCAAAGATGGGGAGGGACGCATTTGAGGAGTACCTGAATGAAAAGAGCTACTAGGTGGCAGAGACTGAGAATCTGAGGAGGGAGTTGATAAGAAGCGACTAAGGACTATAATAATCAGTGTCGCTTTCTGTCCATCCGGATTCGGGGAGGCCACTTGGGCAAATAACGAGATGATATAACTATTTGCAGATAGACACAAGAGGGGAAATGATTAATACCACGAATGCCATTTGAAGACCGGGCCACGCTAATCTCAGGCTTATACCGAACGCCGATGTCCGCTAGCAAAATTCCATCGCTGAATACATCAAAATGACGCAATCTGTGACTCCATGTCCATGCATATCTGCTCCCATCCGTGGCATTAAAAGTTCGTATTCTGTGAAAATATTAAGGCTCGCCAAGGAGTCTGGCTGTAATGTCCCCCATGTAGGCTTCCTCAAGCTCGTAGTCCTCGCCGTTGTTCCGGTCGATATTGACGTAGTTGAATGCCTCGACTACTCGATCGATGTCGAAACCCATGTTGACAAAGCGGTCAATCAGGTCCTTGTTGTACCCTTGGTATCTATTCACACATCAGCACAGAATCAAACACTCATGGACGGCAGCCTTACCTTAACATTTGCTGTCTTAGCTCCTCCTCCCGAGAGAGGATCTTTTGCGACTTTGGCTTGGACTTCGTAGGCTGTTGTGCAATAGTGTTTTCCCAATTCGTCGACTTTGGTGCATTTGCATGCTTGATTGCCCACTCTCTTGCCACACGCTGGAATTGTTCAGGATTCTTCATAAGCATGCTTGCGACTTCAGCATCTTGCGGATCTTTCGGTTCGGGTGTGCTGAGGAGTGATTGTAAGGAGAGGAGAGCCGATTTAATAGTAAGGACTGGTGACCAGGCTGTGCCCAGAGTATCGAGGCAAATAGCTCCCTGAAGTGTGTCAGCACAGTGAATTATGAATGGGTAACAGCGACTCGTACGGTTTGGCTGCTGACATTAGGATGCCACAGCTTTGTCTTGAAAGACATCTGAGGCGGTCGAAACGGATATTCCTGTGGGATCTTGATGTCGACCACAAATGTGCCTCCTTCATAAGGGGTATCTGGGGGGCCTGGAAAGGAAGCATGGAGATGTGAAAGATCAGATCCTCCATCCGCTGCTTCTGCCAATATTTTCGAGTCAACGTCGCTCTGGATATCTGCGAGCTCCTTAGCTATACGGCGGAGACGGTTCGAAGCCATGGCGAACGAGATTTCGAGGGATGATCGAGCAGGGCCGACTCGGGACCAGGCTGAAGTAAATACAGGGGTTCTTTTGTTGGAGAAGAGTCTAGTAAGCTCGGCTGCGATTCACAATTATTCGAGACTGGTTCGCTCTGGTGAATGATGATTCGAGTGTTACTTGAGCTGTGTCGGAAGTCAGAAGAGTGAAAAGGAGAAAGGCCTGTGAGTACACGACACTGCAGAACAAAGCATATTTGGGGGAAGAGCTGGGCGGCTGGCGAGGCAGTTATAGAGAGCCTTACCTGTGGGGCAAGTTGTCTGGCTGTTTGTTGGCGGGGTACTCGGTGTTTCGAGAAGGGTACTGGCGATGCGATGGAGACGAAAATAAGTTTATTTAGCTGTAGAAAGTTCTCTCTCAAGACCTCTCAAAGCAGCTGTCCGTTGAAAGAGTATTGTGGTGACTGTTCTGTACGTGGTTCCAGTGGGGGTTTGTCTCAAGGCTGGAATCCGATAGTCAACTCGAGACAGGGAATCTATTTTGGGCTTAGCGCTGGAGCTGCTTAGTCATGCTGCGATTCGCGTCGCCTTGTCGCCTGCGGAATCTCAGAATCTCGTCGAGCTTCCCACGGAGCTTCATTACAAACAACCCTCCTGCTTGCATCAGCAACCTCATCCTCATCCATAGGACGAGACAGGTCTTGCATCGACTCTTGGTTTCTCAAAGCCTGTACCTAGAAGCGTTTGATAGCGCTGCGATTAAGATGGTAAGCTATTGTTGACACGGGGCTGAGACGCAAGACTGACAAACCATCACAGGGAAATCAACAATCTGGCATGGGAGGTGGGGGTCAAGGTGGGGACAACAAAGATGAGAAGGACAAGAAGGTATGAAGGCAAGATCGCATCAATTTGATGATGCTGACCTCCCCTTCAATAGAAGGACAAGCCTAAGTACGAACCACCTCCACGACCAACAACCAGAATCGGCCGGAAGAAGCGCAAGGCAGCCGGTCCAAATGCATCAGCAAAGCTCCCTGCTGTCTATCCTACCTCTCGATGCAAGCTAAGATACCTCCGAATGCAACGAATTCATGATCATCTCCTCCTCGAAGAAGAATATGTTGAGAATCAGGAACGCCTACGAAAGGCAAAGGCTGCAAAAGAGGGTGGAGCTCCTGTAGGTGGTGACGCAGATGCGTTGGACAGGAATGCAGATGAGCGAGGTCGGGTTGATGATATGCGAGGAAGCCCGATGGGTGTTGGAACTTTGGAGGAAATGATCGATGATGATCACGCTATCGTCTCTTCCACCACTGGCCCCGAGTATTATGTCTCCATCATGTCCTTCGTCGACAAGGATCTTTTGGAGCCGGGCGCGAGCGTCTTGCTTCATCACAAGTCCGTCTCCATCGTTGGCGTTCTCACCGATGATGCCGATCCTCTGGTCACGGTCATGAAGCTCGACAAGGCACCAACTGAGTCATATGCGGATATTGGTGGATTGGAACAACAAATTCAAGAAGTTCGGGAGTCTGTAGAACTACCTCTGCTGCATCCCGAGCTATATGAAGAAATGGGCATCAAGCCCCCAAAGGGTGTTATTCTCTACGGTGCTCCTGGTACTGGAAAGACTCTGTTGGCAAAGGCTGTTGCAAATCAAACTAGTGCAACTTTCTTGCGTATTGTGGGTAGTGAGTTGATCCAGAAGTATCTTGGTGACGGACCACGGCTTGTCAGACAGCTTTTCCAGGTATGTATAGCTCCTTGACTCTGGCAAGTCAAGCTAATTTCTCTAGGTCGCCGCTGAGAATGCACCCTCCATTGTTTTCATTGACGAAATCGACGCCATCGGTACGAAGCGATACGAGTCTACATCAGGGGGAGAGCGAGAAGTCCAAAGAACCATGTTGGAGCTTCTGAATCAGCTTGACGGATTCGATGACCGAGGAGACGTCAAAGTCATCATGGCCACCAACAAAATCGAGACCCTCGACCCTGCCCTCATCCGACCCGGCCGTATCGACCGAAAGATCCTCTTTGAAAACCCCGATCAAGTCACCAAGCGCAAGATCTTCACTCTCCACACCTCAAAGATGTCCTTGAACGAAGATGTCGATTTGGAAGAATTCATTAATCAAAAGGACGATCTGTCTGGTGCTGATATCAAGGCTATCTGCTCTGAAGCAGGGTTGATGGCATTGAGAGAGCGCAGAATGCGTGTGCAGATGGCGGATTTCCGGGCTGCAAGAGAGCGTGTTTTGAAGACGAAGAGCGAGGGCGAACCCGAGGGATTGTATTTGTAGATAGATGAGCGTTTGGGAGAGGAGAGGGGACGCTAGAGCATGCTTGCTTCGATTCGTTGCACGTGTATTCTAGATTCATAATGCATTGCGATGAGTGGTGCTTTACTTCCTTTTTTTCTATATTCGTGCATTCTGCGAAATGGGGGTCCGTGGACCGAAATCCGCATGGAGACTGAATGCAAGTGCATTGCTCCTCATTAAGCCAGCTCGAGGGAGCTAGACCTTCTGAAGGACTCAATGATCCTGGGCCAGAGTTCATGCGTAAGAGTTGTGTTGCGGATGCGTTGTCCCTCGAAAACCCGTCCACGTCTTACCTAACTCGGCTGAATTCCTCGAGGCATTTGACCCACTGGTGTTGTGTACTTCGAGCAGTCTCGAGCTTTAAAATCTCTGTTAAGAACGCTTTGCTGTCATTCCCGTTTTTGTCGTCCTCCAAGCTTGCTTCTCTACCGCAAAATGGTCACAGGCGCGAGTCGCCATCGATTGGACGACCAAGTAGGCGGGACAACCTCACTTCCTTGGGTAAAGGGCCACTCGATTGACCAAAACGTTCTCTCTTCTTCCACCATGAGGATGTGTTCCCGTCATAATTACTGCGCCATATCTATCACAAGGACAATAGTCTGGCTCTGTAGCTGGCCATAACACCAGGGTGGTAATCCTCCGAAAAGAGAAGGATATCATGGTCAGCATGAACGCATGGATGGAGGGTTTGCACAGCTGGAGACCTACTTGTACGAACCCTGATTCTCCAGGCATTTGCCATTTAAATACACCATCTTGAATTTCCGGTGATGTGGGGTTTCTGTTTTCTGCCAGACGATGCCATGTGCGAGGGGAACGCGAACGCAAAACTCTATAAATTGCTTGCCTGTGCCCAGGACAGATAGATGAGAAATTGAGCGTCTTTGTAAGACTCGTACTTGGGAGCATAGGGGTAGGCTCGGTGTCAATGTAACAGCATTTCTTTGAATGAGCTAGCCATGCGAAACGATAGAATTTCGAGCGTGGGCAAGCGTTGATATCCCGAGAGTCTAGACCAGTGTATAACTCGTTCTTCAGACTATTGTCATTTTCCTCCCTGTTGTCATTCTCCTCCCTGTTGTCATTCTCCTCCCTATTGTCATCCTTGCTTTTACCGTCCAGTCTCGATCCTCTGCAGCAATCAAGGGTCCCTACTATGTCGTACCACAGTACGAGCGCGTAACAAAGTTTCACCTGGGACCCAGAGAGTGACACATTCTGATGCAGCACGCCAACCCTCAGCGTCTAAGTGCGTTCCCACGGATTCCCCCAGGTCTCTCCGGTAGGAGTCAACTTGAAGTTGTTCGAGAACATGCATCACTATTGGCTGTTTTTATGTTACTGGAGAGAAGGTTGAATCACGCTTGCGGTATGGAGCGGTGCCGTACTTCTTCCCGTTACATATTCTTTTCCGGTAAACAGTGAGGGATTTGTTGGAGTGAACGGTGTATTGGCGCAGACAATGAGCTTCCTGGAGTGTCTAAACTACGCACCTGATTCTGCAAGCTGAATCAGCACTGAAGTGGAAGGTCCAAAAATTGACGGATAGGGAAGCCCTCGAAATGACAACTGTGCATAGAGCTAGCTCAGGTTCCTGCGCTGGAGCCATGGATGTCTGGTATATTGAACTCGATAGCTGAGTCTGCAGAGATCGGTCACTTGAGAGCAGTCTTGGTTTTACAGAACCCTCCTGTTGTCACTTATTTTCTTGTTATCATTTAACCTAGATTCTGCCGTAATATATGTTCAAGCCTGCAACGAGGTTGCGCAAGTTCAACGAAATTGGAGCATGCTGCATGTGCTTGAGTCTTCGACACTCACCGGCATCGGGGTAAATCCTCTGGATGAGCGTGTCTAGGGAGTTGAGCCGATGGTACGTTATAAAGTTTACAGGCTTGATGTATTTTTGCAATTCAACACTTCTGGAACTGCTCTATCTTATATCTAAGAACCCCTGAAGGCCAATTAATTTGGATTGCCTCGAAGCATACATTGTTGATACACGAGCACAGTGTTCTATTAAAGCTTGGCTGGGTGTGCAACTTGAATCAGCATTTTCATTCAACGTAAGACGCTGTTGCCAGCCGGCGGCTGGGTGTTCCAAAGAAAGCAGCTTCATTTAGAGCAGGATTTTCAATGGCCTACGAATCTGCGAGTTTCAGAGTGCATATGAACTCAATCTTCCAGGAGTCTGGGCCTCTGCATACCCAGGAAACCCCTTCCTCTGTCAAACATATCTTTTGTTGTCACAGTTTTCTTGCTGCATCGGCCTTGCCCTGGTTAGCAATAGAGTTGGAACGCAGCTCTGAATTGGCACCCAATTTTGAGCACGGTGCTGGGCCTACCAATATTCGATATATAATCAAATACCTCGAGTTGAGGGTTCCTTGTGTATTCGAAGCCATAGGTAGTCTTGTGACTCTTGTCCAGCCTCCGTGGGTCCATGGTATGAGCCCGAAGTCACTCTCACCTTTTTATATACTTAGAGGTGGATTGCGGAGCGGAGGACGAGACTCGTCTTCGAGTGAGGAAAAGGGCGGCCAAGGAAATACCATTGCTGCGTGCTCGTTCTGTAAATACCCCACCGTCTCTTAGGAAGTAGCACTTCGGTACTTTCCATCGCGGATTGCTTTTCCTTGTGTGTCACTGCAGCGATTTACTTTGCCGTCATATACAATGTATTTCAAAGATTGAGGTTGTGGTCGTGCAGGGTTATATAAAACGGCTGCTTACGTTGAGGATTTGAATATTAACCAGCAACAGCTGCATTGCTAAAGGACTGAATATAGGTACCTATTCGTTGCTTACCGGCACCTTGAAGAAGCTAGCTTGACGCCTTGGGAAGCCTTTTGTGAAATCCACTAGATTTCCGTATTCAACAACACTAGCGGGGTTGGGGACGACACGTTAGAGAGAGGTTCACTTATCATCGCTGTCAAGTGGCGATTTGTTATCATTCATTTCCTGCTCAGTTTGAGATGCTGCGCTTTATTAAAATTAAAAAAAACGTAGACTTCAAGCCAGGGATTCCGAGTTTGGCATGCTCGCCTACGGGGAAACTGGCGGGGCCCATGCACTCACTGCAGTTTGCCGTTGCGAAAGGACTCGCACTATGGCCTCAATTGATAGTTCTTTCTTGATCGAAAAGGTTCAGACTCCACGCGTGATTTTATATCAGAAGAGGAGGGAACAACAAAAAATGAGAAGAGAAATGATAATAGTCCTCTCTGTCAGGTTTGATGTCCCTTTCTAGTTGGGAGGAGATCGCCTCGCTTCCCAGGGGTGCTTGCCTGTATTATGAACCCTGAGCTGTGATGGTGAATGCGACTTTGTAGTGCTTACAGACATTCACGAGGCTCAACTCAAAGAGATAAATTTTACGGCCCGGGTGATCGCTTCTCGAGGAAAACTGTCTACCAGTTCTGTAACTCATCGTCTCTTTTTGAACCTTGCAAAAGAGCTCAGCGCGACGCTATTGCGAATTCAGCAATTTCATACTCTCAATATACTAGCTATACTCCATACAATTGTCCCAACTCATTGCTGTCAAGTTCTTTGTCACCAGTGTGTCAAATGAGTAGAGTAGAGTAGAGTAGTGGGTCCTACTCATACTCTACTCATACTCTACTCAAGCTACTCATGAGTAGTATGAGTAGTGTGAGTAGGTACCCACGTGACAGTTGCACGTGACAGGCTAGCCTAATTAGGTAAGCCTCCCATCTAGCGCCAAGTTTCTACCCAATTAGGCAATGACATTGCTTAGTAAGCGAGCCAAAGGTCAGGGGGAAATCAAGATTCTAAGAAGCATAACTAGTTTAGTATTATAGAAAATTAATATTTAGCTAGTCTTATACAAGCCCTAGCTTACCTTTACTGGGGCTACTTAATAAATATCTTTATTATTTAATAATTATTAAATAAACCTTAGTTTATTATTGTCACGTGACGGCTACTCATTACTACTCATACTACTCATGAGTATATACTCTACTCTACTCAAATTTTTGACACACTGTTTGTCACTGTCCAATGTTCCTCTGTCATTAGACGTTCACCTGCCGTCTCGTCTGACGAAACAATAAGCAAGAGCCCTCGAGTCGAACATTTGCACTGCAAACCATTAGTTTGTTAGACACAATATAGAACAATCCCCTGCGGTCACGCTCTTCTTCCCAGTGAACCATTCCTCCAGCAGCTGAATCAAGCAGAGGTATTTTTTCTCGCCACAGAATCAAGCGCCTTATATACTGCTTATTCTGCTTGCTCCGTCTTCAAATCTACAACCCTTTCGAAGTAGGAGTTTTTCTTAACTCACTTGGAATATTACTGCTATATATAGACCAGTGATCGACAGCAGAATAATGGAAAGGAGGTCGGTTACGTATCACATGATACCCCTGAGTTTGGGTGCAATGACGAGGACTAGCTGATTGTGGCCGCGCACGCAAAAGAAAGCGATGAATTTCTCAGGTTTATTATCTGGTATACTACTGAGTCGCATTTGAATTTGAATTCCGAGTTCAGGAGGCTTTCCTCGAGATTATCTCTTCGCCACTGCTCATCACAGCCTCCAAACCCACTTTCCATTCTTTCGTAAAAAAAAAACTTTACGGGTCACCCCATGTCTTGCGAATGTAAAGAGCGGCTGAAATGCGCACCGTAGTCCCCCTCCTATTTTATTCTGCTTATCTCGTTCTCCTTAAGATTTTGTCCCCCAAGATATTATACACATGGAGATTCGCCAAGTTTGTTCCAGAGATGAAGGAGGTTATACATCTAGGAGATGCCAGCAGCTTTTGCAATGAACGTAACAGTAGTAACGAAGTAAAGGAGTCAATTGTATATTGCTTCCGGCACATAGATATACTAGAGTCGAAAGGAATGTGGCTCGACACTAAAGAGGTGTATGGGGAATTTACTTATTTCCAGCCTGTTCTGGCCGATATAACTTGGGGGATTGACGAGGAAGAAGGAGGGAATACGGTGGAGGGATCTGCGATGGCTTTACCAGAGAATCGTGTAGAATAGGTTAGTAATATGCCGCGTGACAACGAGGGAAGCAGGTGACAAGAGTCGGACTGGGGTTTGCAATTGATAAAGAGGCACATTTATAATGTTTATTTGCTGTTCCTGTACTTACTAGGCTGTTTCTCCATTCATACTTACCAACTTTACACACTTGTAAAATTCGTTATTCGAACAATCAATATTTTCGCTCGCATCTGCGTCGGTACAATTTGACCCTTCTCAGTAGGGTTACTCCACTAAGTTGAAGCAGACCGGCCTCAAATTCATCAAGTCGCTTTCTCATCTAAACTTTCGTCCTTCCCTTCTGTCTTGGGTAAAATAATCGGATCCACGATACCATGTGAGCTTCTGCCATCACTTTGCAGCAGTTCAACAGACGTGCGAAAATCGCATTGTGGCTGTACTAAGTTTACTGTTGCCCTGCTGCCTTTCTCGTCCGAGTTTGCTGAAGATGGTCCCGAAGAAGAGCTGTCTCGAATCTCGTTAAAAGTAACAACTGCCCCTTTCTTCACGCCCGTTCTTCCGACACTGCACCTCGATTGCTTCATATCAGGCAATGCTACACCACTATGCACACGAGCAAGCCTGCATATTGGAGTGCTCGAAGGTCGCTTTCCGAAAATGGCTTTTTGAAAATGAACGCGATCTTTCACCCCGACCTCTAGGTTAGTGTGGGCAGCTTTTGCTGCGTGTAGCATCCAATCGATTGTACCGTCCGGCACGAAGAGAGCTTCCAGCGTGTCCTTGTTGCGGTGGTAGAACCAAATATACCTGATGCTACCGGCGACGGTAAAGAGCACGAGAAGAAGCACCACGGTTACGAAGGCTGTTGAAATTTCGACTGTGGTGTGGTTGAGGCTAAGAAGCTTAGTCCCCGCTACTTGCCATCCAGTTGAGGTAGCGACCTGATATACCCTAGAAAAATGGCAAGTCAGTATGCCAAGACTCACAAGTCTTGGAATATGTCTCTCAGGGAGCTCGGACTTGAAGGTGGTCTTCAGGTGGTGCTTACTGGTAGAAGCGAAAAAGCTCACTAGAATTGAAGAGAGGCACTGTTTCATTCTTCACTGAACCTTGAATCACTGCAAAGCGATTGTAATCGGCAAATGCTTTGATGAGAGAGGCCTGGGATTGCCGTAAGTTTTTTCTCCTGGAATGCGCATGAGGTACATGAGACAAATATTTTCAACAACAAAAGAATAGATCTCTCGAAGAAGCTTACAGTGTCATTGGTCCATGGCCACGCTATCCTATCTTCGTCCGCCACCACCGCTTTTCGAGTGATTGTGCATTCGGTCCTGACGTAACTTGCGTTCCCCACTGTCCCATTCAAAGCCCAAGCAGTACGGGCAGAGTAATTGACCTGGTCATTACGCATAACTAGGGTGGATGAGTGAAGACGAATGGTGGAGAGAGAAAGATGGATTGGGTGTTCATTCTTGTGCATCTGATCGTCCACAGCCGGATCAGATTGAATAAGGACAAAGACAACCACATCCTTTGCTAAGAGTAAGGAGTAATTTGGATCCCATGGAAACCACCCGCAGAAGTCTGCTGTGACACGGTAGATGGATTTATTGAACCAAAGCGCGTCGAACGTGTCCCGAAACGCTGGAAATGCATTAAGAGGGTCGACAATTGGGTAGATTGGGTTCGCCGTGATAGCCAGGGATGTCTCCCCGGTTTCGTTACAGTGAACCCGCCAAGCAGGATCCCATTCATCGGCACGATAGGTCCACGATAGGGTGCTTGGTGGCAAAAAGTCCAAAAGCTGGTCGTGAGGGAAGTTTGCCTCGTCCAGATTCCGGAAAGTGTTGTTCCACAGCACGCTCGCACCTGCACTGTTGCCAGACGCGCCACCTCCTTTGCTTGCAGATAGCCCGGCAATGGTATTTTGTTGAACCATATGCCCCGTCCTCAAAGCGTATCTTGCAATCGGGCCAGCAAGCGTCGTTGCAGTAGTTACTATCAATATCGCAACAAGCTGAACTAGGAGATTGAAGTATCGACTCTCGAATATGTGGGCCTTCAGGAGTACAAGCAAGTCCCAAGCCTCTCCGGGGCTGGTGAAGGTGAAGAGGGTTGATAGGGGAGCGTTGGTTTTGGAGATAATTTTTGTGCTGCCACGCTGATACCAGAATCGAGAAAATGCCCATATGCCTATCGTTCCTAAAACGCTGATGATAACGTTGAGTGTGGCTTGAACATTGGCGAAATCCCACCTAGTGGACATGATGATCCATGCAAACGCCATTTTTTTCGGGGCAGAAGTGTATGGTATTGCACGAGAAGCTATCAGGGATAGTATAACCTAGCATTCTGGAAGAGAAACATAACTGAGCTGATATGAGAGTCCCTGCTTTAATAGAAATATCTGCTCTCTTTTGAGGAAGGAGCGCCATTTTTGCTGTCTGGCAAAGTCCGTCTTTCTCGACGAATTGATGTCGGAGTCAAGCCTGAATCAGTGAATCTACGGACTGCGGCTTTTAGTAGGTGATCAGACGTTGAAGAAATCTGCTTTTCAAGATCCCTGACCCAAACTCTTTTAAATGCTCTCCCAAGCTGGGCGCACTATGGAGGCCACCTACATGGCTTTGGAGTCCGGTAAACTACCGTGGCTTTGAATTTCTTGTGGCTTGTGGCTTGTGGGTCCTCGTTCAATATTTATGGTTCCACCAACCGGGTACTGAGTCAAGGAGAGAATTTTACAATGACAACAAAGCACATGTCTTACGCGAACAGAGAAACAATGAGCTTTTCCTGGGGTCCGCCCCTGACCGCTGGTACAGTAATCGAGCCAGATTGGCTCACGGACGACCCCTGCGGCTTTGGCGTCTTCTGCACCACGACATGAAGGATACTGGTACTTGAGAATTATGATTCATGACGGGCAGCCGGGTAAATCCTCATTCGACTAAGATAGCCGTTCTGTGTTACCTTCCAAACCCTCTCAGTAGCGTCTAATAAGGACAGGGGGAAAGCACATGCTTTGCAAAGGTGAGGCGAGCGACGTTTGGATAGCCAGTCGCAGCCACCACCCATGCCAACTTGCGGGCCCAAAACTGCGGGACGGGACGGATCTTTTGGCACTCCTACCAATTGGGTATTGATGGTTAATCTACTCCAAGGCTCATGCGATACCCCACTTTCCCTCGAGTTTCGGGTATGAATTATGGTTGTCGGCGCCCCCAAGCCAAATTGGACCCCCGTTGAGTTTTCGCCATCAATGTACCAGACATTGAGTATATTGAATCTCAGCAGTAATTGAAGCAAAGAAGGACTTCAGACGTGAGTTTGTGAGTAGTGTCTTAACTCCGTGGGTGTTAATTCAAGCAGATATACACCATGGAGGCATCTCAAAAGATTCCACAGGCTTCCAAGGAACGCAAGGCTCAGCCCTGGAAGAAGGCTTGGCCTCCCCAAACCAAGGAAGCGCAGGGAGAGAAGCACGGCTTTGCCAAAGGAGAGATGCTCCAGCTTGGTGGGCAAGGTGGTGCTTGTTTAGATCCTTTGAAAGATAGAAAGTGAGAGGTCTTTCGGTGGCTCTAGCCGGATTGTTCACCGTCGTCGCCGACCGCTTTTACTCTGCATGGATGGATACCCTCCACTCGTTCGTTAGATTGTGGTGGCAGTGCTTTATTTGTGGAAGTCATGACTTGTTATTTATTGATGAAGGAAATCGTTTGGAATAGCAAAAGTTCAGAATATGCAAGAATCATCTCCCATCTCGTGACCCATTCAGCTTCCTACATTATTAAGTCATCCTCCTGAGGAGGCTATGCAATAATTCGTGGAAGAAGACTGCGTCAGTAGAAAACAAATGCCCTCGCCTCAATGCTCTCCCTCGGGAGCTCGTTTGGGTCGCTCAGAGGATTCCGGAAGCCACAATGCGGGACGCCTATTTTTTCTTAGCATGGACCTGTTGATTAAATTCAATGACGTACACTTCCGATCGACATAATTTGTGTCGCCCTGACAGAAGATAGCCAGCTCTGTCGACTTCTGTCCACTCAAGTAATACCATTGATGCTTTGGATTATAGTAAACCTGGAAATTTTCTGTGTATCCGGTTCGAGATACCACATCTGCAGCGATCAAATCGGCCTCGTAGTTGACGCTCTCGGCATCGCAGAGTGCTAATGGCCAATCCGCGAGAGGGCCTCGTAATGGTTTCCAGATGCTGTAACTTTCAGCTCCAGTCTTTGCAGTTGATTGGAGATGGCGGACTTCAGGCATTGAATACGATTATAATCTGAATTGTTCATCTTGAGAACATCTTGGCTCATCTCCAAAATCGCGCCCATGGTGAAGTCAGCATGCACGATTGATGTCGGCTGGGCGTAGTCGTAGTCATCGCCAGTGGAAATTGGAAATTCAGGATGCCGTTTTCTTGTCTGTATATTTTCAGCACCCATCAAAGTTGATATCAAACCGTGAGATTGATTACTATATGCTCCAAAATTTCGACCCGCTTTGCCCCGAAATATTTCAGAAGGAGAGCTTTAATTTCAGCATAATAGATATCTTTTACTCTTTTCACATTGTAAAAGTCTCCTGGGTCCAGTTTAGATTCCATTTTCAAGAATGAGAAACCATTGTTTTCGAAAGAGAATGATCTCGACTGTCCTCTCAGATCCTGGATGAGAATTGGCCCACGGCTCTCCTGAGCAGTGTTCTGGTGCGGGAGGTCACCCCCCGGGTTGTATTGCAGCTTGTATGGTTTCTCCGACTCGTGAATCTCGTCCTTTCGAAGGTAGAGTAGAGCCGACGAAACATCTTTTACGGGAACATCCGCAAAGAAACATTTCGGTACTGTTTCCAGAGTGCCTCGTAAGTTACGCTATAAGCTTGGGGAGGGCCACTTACTGCCAGGGCCTTCTTGCTCATGGGGCTGACCCATGGTTCAAGAGACTGGAGTGGTTCAATCCCTTTCCTTGGACCAGAATGTTCGTCTTCCACGAAGGCAACGACGGGGAAATGAGCGGTAAGGCTGTCGAGAAATGCGTGCAGAATCTTGACCACCCTGGAAATATGGGGGGTTTCACACCATTACGGAAAGCCTTAAGTAAGGACGTGGATGTGCCAACGAACTTTTAACTTACAACTTATGACGGGAATGTGTAAAACGACACCCCTCCGGGTGTCGATTGGGGTGTCGATTGGGGGCCACTAACCCAAAGTAGAGGCGCTCGAACAGGGAACACCAAAAATCTAGCTTTCTCTTTAGTTTAATTTAACTTTATAAGGAATTAATACAATTCAATATTTGTTTTAATTACTTATAGCGCTAATTAAGGGCAATTTTTTTTAATAAACTTTGAATTAATAAAAGCTTATTAAATTAAATTTTTTTATTTATATTTTATAACTTAAAAATAAACTTAAGAAAGCCTAGAAATTTAGTAAATAAGTTCCTAAAACTAGATATAAGAGCCTTATAAGGCCTAGAAACTAGAATATAATTAGTTAGTATATAAAGTTCTTTTAATTAAAATTCTAATTAAGAAATATATAATTATATTATAAGCCTTATATTATATTAGCTTATACTTTTATTTAAAACTTTAACTTAATATCCCAAAATATTCTAGCCCCTAATTAATATATTAATTAATACTTAAAGAAGTATTATTTTATATATTTCTTTTATAACTTATAACTTAATATAAAATATATTTACTTTATTAAAAATTATAAATACTTATATATATTTTATTTACTTTTTTTAATTCTTTTTTCTTTTTATAAATATATAAGAAATAAAGAAAATAGAAATAAAGAAACTTTTATTATAAATTTATATTATATTTTATTAAAAAGTTAAGTACTAATTTTTAATATTTATAACTTATAATTTAATAATTATTTCCCTAAAATTTAATAATAAGAAGCTTATAATTATATAGCTTTCTTTTTTTTATACTTTTCTTATTTTAATTTAATATAATTTGAGCTAGTATAACTTGTTTTTCAAAATTAATTTATAAACTAAAGCTTTTAATAATAAATATTTTTTTATTTTTTACTAAATTCTATTTACTTATATTTCTTAAAAATATATTACTTACTTTTTAGCTAATATATAATATTTTTCTTTTTAAATAAATCTTATTAGTTCTTAAAGCTTATTTATTTAGACTTTGAAATATTATTATATAAAGCAAGTAAATAATCTAAAATTCTAGTATTTTATAGGTTTTAAAGCTAAGAAAAGAAGTAAAATATAGTAATAGATAAGTAAATAAGGCCAAGACTATTAAAACGCCGAGCTTAATTTAAACTCTAGCTTAATACCTTAGTTAAAACCAATTATATTATTATAATTCCCAGATACCTGGCCAGATACTAGATGCCTCCTAGACACATGTAATGCGGCCGCCTTACTAGGGAAGTATACTTGGAATATACTAGAGATATTTAGAAGGCTAAGCCTCTTTGGGACTAGTATATTATAGGATATATATACTTTCTTATAGTCTTCTATATTCTAATTTTCCCTTTTTTAGCTTTAAATCGTTTTTATAAGAGACCTTTTATCTTGCTTTCTAAGCCCTAAATACTATACCTATAATAGTATTTAAAGCTTATTTCCTTTAATCCTATAAAGGATTTCAAATAAACTAATTTAGAAATATAGGCACTATTAAGATAACGGAACCTTAGAAATATAAGTAATAGACTCTAGAATAATAAAAGCAAAAAGCTTTAGAACTTTTAAAGAAATCAGGTATTTATATTTTTATAAATATATACTAATAATATATTAGAAATTATCTTAAAAACCCGAAAATCAAAGAACCTTAAATAAAGGCTATTCTTTAATCAAGTCTTAGAGTAATAGGTACCTATAGGCTAGTAAACCTAACTATTATTCTTAAGCCTTATCCTATAACTTTATAAGCCCTATATATATACTAGTAATAAAACTACTAGGAAAAATATAATAAAAGAAAAATATAATAGATTAACTTTTCAAATTATTATATAATCCGGAATAATATTAATTTCTTCTAAGGCTTCTATTAGTTCAGGTTATTTTATTAGTAGCCTTTCCCGAACCAAATATTTTATTAATATTTCTAGAAGTTTCTTAGACGAATTTATAAAAAAAAAGACTTCTCTTTTTATTAAAAAGTTCCTATATACTAATTAACTTATTATTATTAAAGAACTATATAAATAGGCCAAGAAAGCTAATTATTTATTTTCTAATATTAATTCAATTATTATTAGTTACTAGAAGAATCTCAAAAAAGCTATTTTATATAAAATAAGCTATAAAGATATTAAGGGCCTTTTTGAAAATACTAAGCTCTATAATACCAAGTTTAAGAATAATATTAAATATTATATAGCTATAATAAATTAGTTTATAATAGCTCTAGCTACTTCTATTCTATCTACTTCTATTATTTCTATAGTTCCGGCTATTTTGAATTTCTTTTAAAAGAATTCCGAACTATTTCCTATTTATTCCCGTTTAGAATTCCTTATATCTTATATTTCTTTTAAATATATTAGAATTATTAAGCTTCTAGATCTAATTCTCTTTACTAGAGATTATATTATCTTTAATAACTAGCTAGTTTAGATTAAAAATAAGCTATAAGAAAATACTAATTTATATTTCTTTAAGAATTTTAAGATTATCTATATTTCTAGTAAACTTACTAGTAATACTCTTATTTTAACTAACTCTTATATAAATAAAGATAATTCGAATTAGTATTATTAGTTCTTAGAATTATATTTCTATCTAAAGAAGCTATATTCTAACCCTAATAAAATATAAAATACTTGCTATAACTTTAATAAGCTTTAAATATATTTTAGTTAAGTATTTTAGGAGTTTTATATTCTCTTTTTATAACTATTTATAAAGAGTAATATTAGTTTTTAAAATATTAAATATAAATTAAATAAAAAGCTTTTACTAAAGCTCTAGGAATTAGTATATATATATTATAATAATTCTTCTATTAATACTATTTGCTTTATTTAGTACTATACTATTAATAATTAATAGATTAAGGCTATATATAAGAAAACTAAGAAATATAAAAAAACAGGAATTATTTTAGCTAAATTTATTTCTAGTATTATATTTTCTTATATTCCTAAGAAGTATATTTCTAAGAAAGAATTCAAAAAGCCTATATTAATTACTTTTATTAAATATATACTTTCTTATAAATATAAATAATATCCTATAAAAATCAAAAATCTCTTAACTATTAAATATTATAACTATAACGAGTTTAGCTATTATATTAGGTATTATCCGGTTAAATATAATAAAGAAACCAAGATAACTCTTTCTAAAATTAAATTAGGCTTAGTTTCTATTTTATTAGAATATTTAATTATTATTCTAGTAAAGTATTTAGAGAATTTAAGCTCTAATTTTAATATAGAACCGGAAAATAAGTATTCCTAAAAAAAAGTCTCTATTTTAGGAGTTTATAATATGGATTTAGTAAAGATTAACTTAATTTATCTAATAAGAGAAAATACTCTTATAATATCTTATATTATTAATATAAATAAATTAGGAATTAAGTTTTTTTCTTTTATTAATACTAGAATTAATAATTATACTTTTATTAATATAAAGCTTATTTAGCTTATAAAGTAATTTCTAGAAATAGAATTATAACTTTTTCTCTTATTTTATATTATATATGGTTCTAATAGAAAGTTAGTTAAGTTTATTAAAAAATATATAAAAATCTTATTTTTAATTAATAATTAAAATATTAAAATATTAAAATATTAAAATATTTATAATTATTTTAAATCTTAGGAATTATAATATTATTTTTAATATAAAATAAGCTATATATATTAATATTCTAGTTAATTATAGAAAATATAGGCTTATATAATTAAAAAATAAGCTTAAATCTATATAATTTAATTATATTATTAATATTTCTTAATAATAGCTAAAGAAGTAATCTAATAAGAAATATTAAAAAAATACTAATTAATAAAATTCTATTATAAACTATTTCTAGAAATCTTCTATTTTTAAATAATCTTTTTTCTTTTAGATTAATTAGAGGAAATTATAGAAAATTATAGAAAAGAAGCTTTTATAGCCTAATTAAGATATAATACTCAAATAAAAGCTAAAGAAGTAAAAAGAAGGTTTTAATAAAAAGCAAATATTAGATCTAGCTATTTTTATTTTTATAGTATTTAATTATATAGCTAAGAAAGGAAATAATATTATTAATTAAATCTCTATTTATAAGATTAATAAAAAGCTTAAAGCTCGAAAAAGAGAAACTATTCCTGGTTCAGAGAATTAATAACTAGGAAAAATAAAGCTTTAATAGCTCTAGAAAATACTATTTCCGGAATTTAAGAAATATATTTCTATTTTTTCTAAAAAGAAATTAGATATTCTTTTTTTTTATAAATTATATAATTATAAGATTTAGATTAAAGGCCTAAAAGAAACCAAAAATATTAGATACTAATTTCTCTAGTAATAGTTTACTTAAAAGATTTTAGAAATTAAGTATTTCTTAGAAAATAATCTAGCTAAAGGCTTTATTAAAGCTAATTAAGTTTCTTTTATTTTACTAGTTCTTTTTATAAAGAAAATAAATAGAGGTTTATACTTTTATATTAATTTTTATTATTTAAATAATATTACCCGAAAGAATTAATATTTCTTTCTTTTTATTAATAAAACTTTAAATTAATTATTTAAAGCCAAGATTTATACTAAATTAGATATTTACTAAGCTTTCTATTATATAGCTATAAATCCGGACTTTTAGGAACTAATTATATTTTATATCTATTATAGAATATGTAAATATAATATTCTTTAGAAAAGCCTTATAAATGGCCCGGATATATATTAATACTATATAAATAATATATTCT